ATCCCTGCTTCTAGCCCAAATAACCAGTATGTCAACAACTGGCTCACCTCCATCCATTTGTTTTTTAAATGTATTATAAATCCAGGTATGAAGTACAGAGGGGGTTATCTGGGTTACTTCTTGCGAGCTTCCCAATTCCTTATCACACTATTGTCTACCTAAGAGTCTAAGATAGGTGCAAAGAGAGCCAGAATCTTCGTATTGCTGGAAATCCAGACACTGATTTCTGAGGTGTAATGGAGCTGTATGTCATTGATCCATCTTTACTGTGACTCCTAAGTCTTCTGGTCTCATGCCTAGAGATTCCTCTAATGACAAGACAATATAAGACAACATAAGGGATTCTTCTTAAGAGCCTGGAATCACTTTCAACAGCAAATGAAAAGTAAAATGAAAAGACCATCCAAAGTGGTTCAGTTTGTCACTTTTTGGTTACAGGAAACCCACATGATAATAGGGTCTTTCCTCCACAATTCATACCTCAAAATCCTGGCCATAAGTGACACCCTTTCATTTTGAGCACAACTTGGGAACTGCAATATATAGGGGACATGTTCAAGGTCAAAAAGGATGCAACTGGTGATCCATCAACTCCTTTATAAATCAATACAGACCTGACCTTCCCTCTACAGAAGCAACCTTTGGTGGGAATGTTCTTCAAGCCGTTGCCCCAAGATAGATTAACACTAATTTTGAGGAAAGAAGGAACACTGTTCTATCTTCTCTCCATCCCTACAAATTTTTTTTCATACTGCTAGCTATGTCCCACATGTCTTGGATTCAGGGAGACGTCGGTATAGAATGAAAATAATTGTTACCTGATTCTTCTTCAAGAATGGGTGCTCCATTTCAGATTTCAGTGTGTTCAACCATGTCACTGTGATCAACCACTGTTGATCAGAGATTTTCAGTAGCAATGTCCATCTGGGACGCGTGTGCACAGTAGTCGTCTCGCGGTGCCGTTGGTACCTCATCTAGCACGCACACGGTCCAACCCCCTCAGTTCCTTCTCAATCGTCCTTGGCCTGAGATAGAACTCCATGGTGATGTGCCAATGTCTCTCTCAAACCTAGAGAAATATAATTAGAAATAGTTTTAGCTTTTTCCTAGTATAGTTAGTTTAGTTTAGTTTGTTTTAATCAGTTCAATTTTTTTTCCTTTTTTCCCCCTCAGAGTGGGGAACACTTAACCTGATTCAAAATGCCTGGTTCCCAGGCTTTAAGAGATGCGGGTCTTGCCACGAAGCTATGCCCATCTCAGACAGCCATTCTCTCTGTGTTGACTGTCTCAGCGATTTGCACATTCCCCAGAAGTGCACTCACTGCAGCAATTTGAAAGCAAGGGCCAGGCATGATCGAGACCTCCATCTAAAACTTATTGTGATGAGAAATTTCTCCAACTGGCCTCCGATCCAGGGTAACAGACTCCTTCCACAGGGAACTCCCCGGGCACATCCAGTTCAACTAAGGACAACACTCAGTCCTCTAAAAGATCAAGGAAAAGAGCCATGACCTCTCTGCAAAGAGAGCTGTATAAAAAGAAACCGTCTTTTGCCAGGTCGCTGTCCTCAGTGCCGATCAACCCCTGGGTGAGCACCTTGAGGCACGGGGAACCTCCGGCACCATCCGCACCGGGACCTCTGCTGAGCCCCATCAGAAGGACAAGGAGTCGAGGCACAGATCTAAGACTGCCTCCTCCCCTACGGCACTGATCACACAGGTGAGAGACATGGTGCCAAGACCCTCACTAGTGGCTGTGCCTCCACCGCCAGCTCCGACGACCCCATCGGTACCAACGGACAGAGCAAAGACGGCACTGTTCACACCAAGTAAGTCGAGCTACAAGTCATCAGCACAGTCCATGGTACCGCCTAAAATAGCGACATGGGTACCGATGGTGCTGAAACCAACGCCACCGCAGAAATTCCTGCAACAAAAAGACATCATGGTCTTTTCAATGCCGCAGTCCCTGCTCTTCGGCCCCGATGGCTCCCCTGAGCATACAGCATCAGACCAAGCAGTATCACCTACAACCCCACCATTCTCAAGCAAAGATGGTGACCACCAGAAAGAGGGTGTCTTCTCTTCACACCATTCTTCACCTACAGAATACAGACCACCTTGGGGACCCATGAAATCAAAGGCCTCTTGCATACAACCATGGTACAGATAATCATGGATGTGCCCACTTATGCCCTTCCCCAAGCAATGGTCATCTTGGGATCCATGGGCAGCGTACAGGACTCGTTACAACAGACCCTCAACTCCACCCAGAGGTGAAATCAGATCACCATCCTCTGTAATGGAGATCTCGGAAGCCCAGGAGGAAACGGGGGATGAGAGGGAAGAGGGCACCAAGCGGGACATAACGTCATCTGCGCATAACTCTTATTCATCACCAGAGGAAGCATTAATGCCCCTACCTCCCACCACAGCAAACGATTTCAAACAGTCCCAAGAACTGTTCAGAAGGGTAGCTCAGAGTCAGGAGATCCCAGGGTGCAGGACACCTATCACAAACTCCTCCAAATTCTGCAGACATAGTTGACTTCTAAAATAGCGTTGTCATAAATGATGCCATCATGTAACTGGCGGAGACAGTCCGGCAAACACCAGCTACTGTCCCACTAGCATGCAAGAGGGCGGACAAGAAGTACTACACGCCCGCCAAGGGTATGGACTTCCTTTTTTCCTGCCCACCACCCAACTCCTTAGTAGCAGAGGCCGCAAATCAGTGTGGCAAACAACCACAGTACAGGTCCACTCCACAGGACAAGGAATACAAGAGATTCGACCTCTTCAGTCAGAAGGTCTATTCTTTGGTGACACTACAATTCCGAGTGGCAAATTGCAGTGTGCTCCTAGCCGAGTATGACCACGATAATTATGGCAAGCTGAACGAATTTATTAATGACCTCCCAGAGGAGAGGCTTGCAAAATTGAAAGCCACACTAACTGAGGGATAGCTGGTTGCCAGAACGGCACTACAAGTATCCCTGGACATAGCAGTCACCGCGGTGAGAATAGCAGCCACAGCCATATTAATGCACAGAGCATCATGGCTGCAATCTTTGGGGATTCCAAAAGATCTCCAAGTGAAAGTGGAGTATCTCCCATTTGAGAGAGAAAAGCTTTTTTTCTACCAAAACAAACAAGGTCCTCCACTTGATGAAAGATTTCTGAATGACTCTCCATACTCTTGGTGTATATATACACCTGCCACGAAATGGAGACGTTACCAGCAATACCAACGAAACAAACATCTCATTCCAACGTCAGCAACAACAAGAATATGAACCACAAAGTCAACGTCCACTACCAATACAGAGTCCTCCCTTGCGGTAGTAGTGGCACACTTCCCCAAACAAGGGATAATGTTTTCCCCATATCTAAACTGTTTACTAAAAGGGCCTACCTGGTTAGAAGCAATAGACAACATTCAGAGGACTATCACTCTCTTCTGGAAGGTAGGGTTACAAATAAACAAAAAGCAATCCTAGTTCCTATATAACAATTGGACTTAATCGGGGCTCGCCTCGACTATAGAGGCCAGGGCATCATTACCGTTGAACAGATTCATAACTCTGACCAGTCTTATCTAGGTAGTCACGACTAGCCCACAAATATCGGCATGAACCTGCCTACAACTATTAGGTCACATGGTGGCCATGACCTTTGTGGTAAGACATGAAAGACTACACATGTGCTGCCTACAAGGTTGGCTGAGTTCAGTGTACATATCAAGCAAACACAACCTGAACAGAAGCCTAACACTGCCATCAAAAGTACTGGAATCTCTACAGTGGTGGACAAGACTGGAGAATGTGTGCACAGAGATTCCCTTTCACCAGGATCCACCATCAATACTAATCACAACAGATGCCTCGATAGGCTGGGGCACCCACCTGAACTAGCATATGATCCAAGGGAGGTAGTCATCTACCAAGACCCTACTACACATCAACCTATTAGAATTACGCGCGGTGTACAACGCCTATCTTCACTTCCTCTCACTGATAAATTACAAAACAGTATGTGTGATGACCGACAGCATTGCCTGCATGTTCTATATAAATTGACAAGGAGGAGCCCACTCTCACTCACTATGCATCGAGACCATGAGGCTGTGGAACTGGTGCATAAATCACAATATAAATGTCACAGTCTCCTACCTCCCCGGGTGCCAGAACATGACAGCGGACACACTGAGTAGACAATTTTCTCAGGACCAGGAATGGTAAATGAACAGTAAAGTCCTACTAGCCATATTTCAGTGATGGGGCTTCCATCCCATCAATGTATTCACAAAATTACAAATGCCCTCTCTTTTTCTCGAGAGCAGGAATGGGGCCCCAATCACTGGGAGATGCCTTCCTAATCACGTGGGAGAAATCACTCTTTATGCATTCCCACCGATACCGCTGCCCTCACAGGTAATACACAAGATACATGTTGACAAAGCCAAGTTCATACTGATAGCCCTGACATGGCCCAGACAGAACTGGTACCCTTATCTGATGCACATGGCAGTATGCGCTGCATGAACTGTCCCACTTCGGACGGACCTGCTATCACTTATAGTTGAGTATAGTGCTATTATTTAAAGTGATATTATTTTATCCAAAATGGATTTAATGTTTCCATACAGCTTTGGAAGTACTTCTCTGGCATGAGGGTGGAACAGGTAGTGCCAATGTTTCAAGCCTAATGGGCAAGTCTGAATTGCTTATGGTGTTTGTAAAATAACAAAGTTTTTATTCTTAACATGCCAAGACATGACTGAATCATAAATTTGTTTGTTTTATTTATTTACCCCCACTCTGCAGGACTCACTTGTTTGGTTGGTTCAGTTTACTTGTTTGAAGGTGCTGACTTCTAATTGTATATATCAAAAGGGCAACTGTTCTAATATTCCAAAATCTGGATTAGGAAGAATTTTAAAAAAATAGATGTAACAATTTTGACTTGAAATTTGCTTTGTTAAACTTGGTAATTTTCCAGAATGGAAGCCAACACCCAGAGGGAAATAACAGCTTTGAAACTCTGTGAAGGACACCCCAATGTAGTGAAGTTGCATGAAGTTTATCATGATCAGGTATTTTGAAGAAACTATAATAAGCATTTTCCAAACACATTTTGTTGTGCATAGCATTAAACTCTTGTGATAAAGCTTACTGCCACTCTGTATAGGCATCTTTTTCCAACTAATTGAGTCTTGTCTACCTAGAAAAATTATAGCAAAAGCATTAAAACCAAAGGAGATTACATTTTTATTTATATACAATAAAAATGTATTTGCGGGAACTCAGGTATACTTACCTTCCTTCAGAGGTATTGTGAAGTTTAAAAGATATTTGTAACACGCTTGGAAATCCTTGAATTAATGGTGCTACACAAGTACCAAAGATTATTTCATAATTTTGTTTGTTTTCAAATGAGGCAACCCAAATAATTTAATAAATTACCAGATTTAAAAGCAGTTCCTTTAAAAAAAAAAAAAAACAACTAGAATGTGCTTGAGTTTTATTTAATTATAGAAACCTCAGTTATCTACTGTATCCGAGCATAGCTCAAATGTAGTGGACAGTGGTGGCCTCAGGGAAACCAGAGCAGCTGGGGGCCTACCTTATCTTCCTCTGCTGGTGTAAGTTCCCCAGCAGAAGATCAGGTATAATGAAGCTGAGCTCCTCTCTACCCCTGACATGCCCCCAGCCCCCTCCCAAAATGTTCCCTATGCCCTTATGAAAGGGTCTGAGGGGGAACAGCTGGTAGGCATATGCAGCACAAAAATGCACTTAGCAAACTGAAGAATCTGACCCACAATCTTTAAGGATGGAGGAGATTTACATTTTCACTATTTATACTTTATGTACTAAAATATGTTCAGAATGTATTATCAGTGTACTTTTTTGAGTTCTTAAGCAGAAAAATCTGTTTAAATTAGCTCTTCGTGGCAAGGTGCTATCTTTATTTTCTTCTTTTGAGCACAATCAATACTTAATAAACAAGATATAACAATAAATGTACTCTTAGATTACTGTGAATCTGATTAGCCTACCTCCAACCAGCCACTCATCCTGCTTTTCATCCTTCTGCAACATGTATATACTCACCAACTCGAGGCTTCCACAGACTAGAGCTGGTCAATTTATTCCAAATTTTGAAATTTCAAAAAAAAAAATCAATTTTTTTCTGAAAAATTTCCTTATTTTTTACTAGCTCTGCTACAAATCTAATCAGGTTCTCCATTGGGAATCCTACTCCGACTGGACCTGCCAATGTTTGTCAGGCTATGACTCTTTTTTGGCAAATCCTGGGACATTTGCCATTGAGAGAATATTTTTTATCCTCTTTCCCTGCCCGTTCCGCTGTGTTCAAGGATAGGGGGAGAGAATTGCAGAAAAAGTAACCTGACAAGCCGTGCTTTTAGCTTAACTAATGAGATATAGTCTCTGCCAAAAAATGCCCACCCATCTGCACAATTCTGCACATCTTTTCATACTTGTCTCACCTGCCCCAGACTATATCCTTAGAAATTGTTGTTGGGAGATAGGACTGTGTAATGGGGTTTACAAATCCCAAACTGAGCATCAGCAGAAGGGAGAGGAGAGTCTTCCCTGCTTAAAGGCTATCAGGCTGATCACACCCCTGCATAGCTACCAGAACTGCCAGTCATGGACACATGCAGCCACAGCTGTGACCAACGAAGTAAATAAGACCAGCTATGAAAGAGGGAGAACAGAGAGGGAAAGAGAGGCAAAAAGGCCTGGGATAGCAGAGGGGCAACAGCCCATGCCATGCTGCTTCTGAGAAACTGACAGACAAAAGGAGACTGCAAGCCTTGGAGTTTAAGGGCTGATAGACTCAATTTAAGTTAAGAATTCATGGACTGGTCTAATTGTAGATGAAGAGGACCAGTTAAGACAAACCTAGGATCCCTAGACAGACTGAATCAAGAGCAGTTGACACAGTGACAATGGCCATCTCAGATACTCATACCCATTGTTTTTCAAGGCTGGCTGGCTAAACAGCCCCATCTTACTTAAGGGAACTACTGAGTTCTCAATTCCAAGGCACCAAAATCTTTGTGAGGAAGGGCTGGTGAGGTCACAGCCCATCTGACAGAGTGAAGAAAATGTGGGCTATGGTTCTCCCCCTTTTTATAGAAGCAAAGGCTATATAACAGTCTTCACAATGAGTGGGATTTCCCTGTGCTGGGGAATTCCTATGTAAAGAGGACAGAGATTTCCCAACTGAGGAAACACCACCTACCCTTTATTTCTACAGTCTCTGGGCAGGATTCCCTTAGCATAGGGAAACCCTGATCCAAAACACCCTGCTGGCTTCCTGTCTGTGAGTCTTCTGCCCTTCTGCTACCCACAACAACCTCATGCCCTATATTACTTCCCCGAAAATGCTATACTTTTCCCACTGCTCCCACCTTTACATCTCCATAGCCTTTCTGTTTTTCCTAGATCCCCAAACCTGACTGCTGTCTCATTGATTTTCCATAACTCATCCCACAGCCCTACCAGTCTCATATTTCCAGCTGTCTCCCACAAATCTTATGTCCCTCCATCCAGTATTCCTTATGCCTCTGTCAAGGTTCCCTCCGCACTCTGAACTTTAGGGTACAGATGTGGAGACCTGCATGAAAGACCCCCTAAGCTTATTTTTACCAGCTTAGGTTAACAGTACGCTGCCACCACCAAGCGTTAACCAAATATTTAGGGAGAGCCACTTGGAACTCTGCCTTCCCCCAAATATCTCCCAAGTCCCTAACCCCCCTTTCCTGGGCAGGCTTGAGAATAATTTCCCCCCAAGCCTCTACACCCCTTTTCCTGGGTAGATTTGAGAATATCCCCTCACCACTTAGTCCTGGTGAACACAGATCCAAACCCTTGGATCTTAAAACAATGAAAAATCAATCAGGTTTTTAAAAGAAGAATTTTAATTAAGAAAAAAGGTGAAAGGAGTACCTCTGTAAAATTAGAAAGAAAGATAATCTCACAATCAGATTCAAAACACAGAGGGTTTCCCTCTGGGCAAAACTTTAAAGTTACACAAAGAACCCAAATTTATCCTCCCTCTTATTTGCAAAAGAACTCACAAACAAGAAAATAAAAATAATCTAACATATTCCTTCTCCAAATACTCACTACCCTATAGGAGTGGGATGGCTCCTTTCTCTGTCTCCGGCAAAAGCCCACACAGCACAGACAAAAGACTTTTTCCCCCTTCCAGATTTTAAAGTATCTTGTCCCCTTATTGGTCCTTCTGGTCGGGTGTCAGCTAGGTTATGTGAGCTTCTTAACCCTTTACAGATAAAAGAGGAATTAACCCTTAACTCTATGTTTATGACAGCCTTCCTGTCCTGGCCTTCCCCCATCAGCCCTCTTCAGTCTCTTTGTACTCTTCCTCTACTCACCAACCATGCTGTCCTTCCCTCCTCCCATTATGATCATCTGCCTTCAAAATTGCCCCCTCCTCAAAACCCTTTAATGCTACCTCTTCCCCAGTACCCCACTAACCTGCTGCTAACAGTTAACAGGTTTTTAAAAAACAAGGAAATTCCCACAAAAAATACTGTAGTTTCTCCCAATCACAAACAAACATATGACATTTACTCCAAATTCAGACTTTGTAACGGTACAAAAAAAGACTTCTCAAAATTAGTTTTAAGGAGTTAATCTTGTTGAAGTTGTAATTAAGTTTGTGCGTTTGAGCATAATTCCATGTATTACGGATGGTTGTATGTTGGAAGAAAAAAGCTGTTTGTTGTGAAGTTGTGGAGTCTTGGGTGCATTAGTGACAAGGCATGTGAATTATGATTGATCTTTATGTTAATGTTTGCCTTAAGTGGTGACTTCCTTGATTTAAAAATTTTTTTGTCTTAAAGGAAATACACTGGCACAACCTTCACTTTTAGTAACAAAGTTTACTGTTTGGGAATATTAAATATATGTTGTGGTTCTAGTAATGGTACAGAAACAGCATGTATCCTTCTATGTGGGAGATGGGATCTGAAGCAGTTGAGGATAATTAAAGACTTGGAAGTAAACTTTCAGGAGGCTGTGCAAGGAATTAGCAACTTTTTCTGCTATTAACTTGATGTCTGTGATTAATTCTTCATGCATAATGATAAAAATGTACCCTTATGTGGAAGCAGGCAATGTTCACCACTCTTTGAGCTAGATTCTACCCACTAATGTGTATAAGTGAATCCCACAGATGTCAATGGTAGCCGTGAGCACCAGACATCTCTAAGAGTAGAATTTGGTTCTTCATATTTTTATACTCATGAAATACTATTATAAACAGAAGCTTGACTCATCCTGACCTCTGGAAAGAGAGATCCTACTGCAGTATAGTATGTAGCTGGTGGAAGGCAAATGTGTTGTGATGCAGAACAAAGAACCAGACAAAAGAACTGATGAGAAAAAAGTGCTGTTATGCTTGCAGTTTAAAAGGCTATATTTTCCCACCTCTTTCTGTCTTAAATGATACCGGTTCTGTTTTTTTCTAAATGCAGTTGTGTAATATTTTTAATAATAAACAGTAAAAAGTTAAGACTTAATTATTAATATTTAAAATCCACAAAGTGTTGGTATATAATCTAATTTTTCTAAGGTATCACATTAAACTGTTTTTTTTGTTTTCTAGCTTCACACATTTCTAGTAATGGAACTGCTGAAGGGAGGAGAATTGCTTGAACGCATTCAGAAAAAGAAACACTTCAGTGAGACAGAAGCCAGTTATATCATGCGCAAACTTGTTTCAGCTGTGAGCCACATGCATGATGTAGGAGTCGTCCATAGAGATCTGAAACCTGAGGTATAGTGTGGCATGATTGTATATATTATTGTTCTAATACCTTACTTACACATTCTTTAACAAAGCAGTGTATCCCTTCATTAAAGTGCATGGTTACTTTAATGGAAAAAATATTGTAATTTGTGTGTTTTTCATGCCTTTTTTTGTTTTTTATTAGGAAATGAAAGTTTCACACATTTACTGTCTAATTTTATTTTATTCCATTATGCTATGCGATCAATAGTAAAAACAATAAAATACTCAACTCAGATAAATAACTAATTTATAAACTTTGTTTATAAAATAAAAAATTCAATCTTAACTCCACCATGTAGTAATATGATGAGAAAAAAATCTGTTATCAAAATTCAATTTGATCTACTCAGGGACTAACATTCTATTCTGTTCTGATCATAAATGTATGATTATTGCATAGCATAACTACAAAGTGGCATTAAGGTTGTTTCGGTGCCTTTACTGTGCATTTTCATGCCTCCTTTTACTTCACTGTGAATTCCTGGGTTTGAAGTGGTTGTTTTTGATGGAATTACAGTGTCCTTGTACTGTTTTTACCCTCAATCTCACTCTAGTTTAATACAGTTTTCACCTGAGAAATAAGATAGGTGAGGAGGTAGTGGGTCTGTTAGTTTAAAAAAAAAAAAAAAAAAAGAGGGTTGTGGGGATCAGCAGTAGTCTGAACTAAAATGGCTGCCTGAAGCCAGAGCTCTGAGGTGATAAGAAAGTAATCTGCCTCCATCAACCCACTAAAGCTACTAAACTCCACCAAAAAACAGAGCACTCCGTTGCAGAGGATGGAGTCTCAAAAAAAAAAAAAAATTAAAAATACCTCATTCAGAAGGGTGTTTCCAGCTCACAGTGTGGAGAGGCCCCTGACAGAAATGTGAAGGCTGAAGAAAATCAGTCTCCAAGGCAGACATTTGGGAGTTGATCTCCAAGGCCATGAGAAATGATCTGATGACTGATTCTAGCAGTAAAGAAGGAAGTAACTGATTTGAAAGGTTGAGTCACTGTCTGTACCAGAGATTGGCCTAAAGAAAGCTAGTGAGAGACAGCCATTGCTGCAGAGCTGCATGACACTGCTGGAACACAGAGAGAAGCAGCTTAAATTGGATGATATAGAAAATAGAGTGTGAAGGAACAACATCAGAATTAAGAGACTGCCTGAAAATGCTGAAGGAGGAAATACAATCTGGTATATAAAAATTTAATTTGTTAAATCTCAGTTCTCTAGAAGATGTGAAAGTGGAGAGAATGCATATGGTGCTATTCCCCACACTTGGAGCTTATAATAGATCCAGAGATTTGATTGTGAAATTTTATCAATATCCGCAGAAAGATTTAACTATGGAAAGAGCCAGAGAACATTCAGAGTTTATACCCCAAGGTGACAAGCTGTAATTTTTGCATGACCACTCTGCCCTAACTTTAAAAAAGAAGAGTGCTGGGGGAAGTTTCAGGAGCACTCAAGAGGGCAGATATATGTTACTGATGGGGATTCTCATTTAAATTCTCATTCAGCTTTCAAAATCAGTTTTACCCAGTAAGATACTTTACACAAGTTAAAACTACAGTCCACTCACTTGAGATAGAAATCAAAATCTCAGAAAAGCAAGAGGATACTCTGGAGGTGGAAACTAAGTATAAAATGCTGGAAATATCTTGACAGATGGTCAAATCCAAGAAAATGAGGATAGGAAAAGAAAAAGACTCTAGAGAATGTACTGTCAATGGCAAAAAATGAAGCTATACAAGAGGACTCAGATACATGAGTAGTTACCAAAAGATTACCCTGAAAGAACTTCTTGAGAGTCATCAAGAATGAACAGTTTAACAGTAACTATGTTAATGTTATAAAGAAAATAGTATGAAGTTTAATTGGGATGATTATAACTCTGTATTTTAAAGTGTAGAGCATATATAGGACAATAAGATGAGTGTCCCAGGGATGGGGAGATTGGAGAAAATAGAAAGGGGTTGCTGAGGAGCACTTAGGGTTCTGTGTAAATCCTCCCAATGTGACTCAAATAATCAGATGGCAATCTATCCCTAAGATCTCATATGTGGAGAATGTAACTCCTTTGGGTTGCAAGAGAAACAGCTCATGGGGAAAGTACATGTGTTGAGAGTTCAAGAAAACACAGTTGTTTGGGGGCTGAATTATATGCTATTTTGGTATTTTATTTTTAAAATAAGGGGAATAATGCAGGAGAGGGGAGGGAATCAGGGATGGGAAGGAGAATTAATACAAGACATAGCTATGGAAATTTACAAACAGAAATCACGCCATATTCAGGCACACGGTTCTGAATACAACATAATTTGCAACAAGAGACATTGGCCACTCAAGGGTTCATGCTATCAAACAGCTAAATAATCACAGTTTCAAGTTTTTCAATAAGCTAAATAGTTATTCTCAATGGCTGTTCCTTTTAAAATAACACCTTTGAATTTTAAGGGGCTAAATAACGTCGTTAAGAGGGGAAAAAGCCCTGGCTGAATTTTTTAAAAACCTCATTCTCAGATTATTTTACTTCAAGAAACGCATTTTCAGGAGTGGCATATTATGGGCATGAAAGATGGTTGGTTTCAGAGACATTTTTTGCTTCAGCCAAAGAAAAGAGGAATGGCCATAATATTTGCTAAACGTAATTTTTTAGATTGAAGATCAATTTAAGGATATGGGGGGATGGTTTATCTTATTGACAGGTACAGTTATTTGTTAGTGGGCTCAGGATATGTTCTCAATCACAAGCAAAAAAAAGCTGCTTTAAAATACTGCAACACTTTGGGGAAGGGAAATTATACTTGGAGGAGACTTCAGTTGCACACCGATTCCTTATTGGACAGATCAGATAAAGAAGATGAAGTGTATAGGGAAGCAAGTGCAGCATTTACTTCTCTGTGCCAAAAATTCAGTCTCTCAGTTTGCTGGAGAGAAATGCATTTAGGGGAATGAGATTACACATTTTATTCACACCCTCATCATTTACATGCTAGAATAGATTTCATGTTAATCTCTAAATCCTTAATGAAGTGAACAAGACCTTTTTGTACAGAAGAAGAGGAACAATGGATTCTTCTTTGAGCTATTGCACATGTCCATTCCACTGTAGGTGTGTGTGTGCCTTGTGCACAGATGTCAGAGATATTTTTTTCCCCTCGGTGCTACCCATCATGACAGCTCGAATGCCCCCTTTTGCTGCGACACAGCATGCTGGTATAAGAGGGTGGAGCTGAGCACCCCCGGTTCCTTCTTGCCACCAGTGATGGTTTTCAAAGTGATCTCGGACTTGTTTACTCAAGTGCATCCCTCATTCATTTTAAATAGTTGCAGTTAATTATTGTTAGATAGTTTCTCAAGTTAGTGTTACATTTCTGTTTTTGGTGTCCTTTGGTACTGTTTCTTTTCTTTTGGTACCAGGCTTGGTACCACAATGATGCCCTGCTCCTCAGTGTTTAAGTCCTGCAGGACATGTTCAAAGCCTAATTTGGTCAGTGATCCTCATCCATCCTGCCTGAAGTGTTTGGGTGAGGCCGACATTAGTGACAAATATCACATTTGCAAGGGCTTCAATCCTCACTTGAAACAGCGAGACTTATGTGCTTGATTATGGAAGCAACATTTTGACCCACAGTCAAGTCATTGCATGAGGAGAGCACCCCAAGTACTTCACCATGGGTATGGAGTGCTCCACCAGATATTTTTTTGGCTTCTCCATGCTGATCCCTGGTACCGAAGAAGAGACCAAGACCTTCCTCAGTCTCAGCATCTTGTTCATCAGCTTCGGTACCCAGGCAAGATAGAGGCAAGGACTCTACTAAACATGTGGCAGAGAGAGCTACCTCAGAAGCCTCACCTCCTAAGAGGTGTTCGCTGCCTCCAAAGCTCGTGCCAGGTCCAGTGAGGTTGTCCTGAGACATTTCAGGAGCCAACAGTTAATGGGACTCCCATCTACCCCAGAGGCATATGCAGCCACAAGAGACTTGGTTAGTGCCTCATTACAGGTTTCACCAGTATTGGAAACTGTCCGACTGGTTCTTGCTCCTGCAACTCACCCCTCACCACACCAAGAATCCCAAAGTACCACTACTTACACCTCCTCTCAAACCAGTCTTATCAAGAAGGAAACCTCTCATGATTTCTCTGGTACCACCCTCCCAGGGTTCAAGATAACTCTCTCCGGTACCATCTGCATCAGCACCTCAATTATTGGAAGCCTCTGACTCCTCAGCCTCTGACTTGGAAGTGCAGTCCTTTGTATCCTGGATAGGACACAGCACTGTGGTAGGAATTTTGGGCATTTATCATGGAGGGCTGCTTGGTTGCCAAGACATTGCTACAATCTGTGCTAGACGTTGCAGACACTTTGGCCAGAGAAATGGCCTCAGCAGTGACCATGAGAAGGGCATCCTGGCTGCAGAGTTTGGGCATTGCTCCCGACGTGCAGCAGACCACAGAGTACTCCAGGGGGAATTCTGTGCCAAAAAATTAAAAATGCTGTGTACAATATTTAAAAATTCTGTGAAATTTTGCATATTTTATTTGTCAAAAATAAAAAAATATAATCACGCCAGTTTCTATTATTTTGGTAATTTCTTTCAAAATCCCTGCCAGCACCGATGTCTGTAACAATGCAGACAACAAAAAATATTCAGGAAATGTTTTTTTGATAAACAGATTCCTTACTAGGCATATTAATACAGAACTTTGCATAATAATTCATTTAAAATACAGAAACGTATTTTCCACACTCCTGAGAAAGAGTGCAAAGGCTTGGGGAGTCGGAGTAATGGAGGAGCTGAGGGAAAGGGAAGTAGTTGCTGGGCAGGAGTCTAGGTGTGAACCTGGACGATTGTTGGGTGTGGGTGGAAGAAGTAATATGGAACAGGTTTTCTTTTGGGAGGGTGGGATTATTAGGGAGCCTCCCCCATGCAGACACTAGACCCCTAGCCTCTCCCATTCAGGCATATCTGCCCCTGTTCCCATGTGTCCCTGCACA